AAATTCCCTCACTTAGAGAAGAAAAAGGTAGAACTAACATCTTTGTTCTGAGAGATATGGCATCTACAGTGTTAATATTACACTATCAAACCTAGCACAAACCATAGCAATGACCCACAATTATTTATGAAACCAATGGCTAGCCATGCCTGCTGCTGTGACCTTCACGTGTATGCAGACTGTGTAAGAGTGCACCAACACCCTCTCACATGCCTCAGTCTATGAAGATAGTGTGTCCTAGTTTGGCGGTTTGTTTTGGTTTGGGTTTTTGCTTGTTTGATGGTGACGGTGGCTAATGAACCAAAGGCCTGGTGAATGACAGGCCATTACTCCTGAGCTACATCCAACTCAAGTCCAGGTGAGGGTTGATGGTGTTTGTGTCAGAGTGAAGAGGAAAATCCCTGTCACTGAAATAATTTGAAAAAGATGTTTAGGTATGTTTGAAAGTCATTCTGCATAACAAATATTTCTTTGCTTTAGTAAACTTAACAAGTTTCATGGGAAAGACAAAACGGCCACATTTAGTTTATTGTCCTTAGGAGCATTTGTTCGCCTTCCAAAAACAGTAGCATTTAACTTAATTCCCTAATCTAATTATGTTTATTTTTCTGTTCATGAAGAAGATAAAATGCAAATGATTTCCATTTTCTATAAAAATGTTTCAGTATGATTAAACTCTACTTTAGTTTTCATATAAAAGACCAAAGTGGGCAGAGTTGAGATGGCTCAGTGGTAAAGGCACCTGCCACAACCTGATGACCTGAATCCAATCCCCAGGGGTCACATGGCAGAGAAAGAATCTTCTGCAACTGTCCTCTCATTTACACATATCTGTGTGTGCACAACTGAACATGTGTGCAGGCCTACATGTGCAAACACACAGATAGATAGATGATAGATGATAGATAGATAGATAGATAGATAGATAGATAGATAGATAGATAGACAGACACATAGACACATAGATAGAAGCTTAGAGAGAAACAGCTCCATCTCTCCAAACAGAATGACTTTCACAACATACCTAAACATCTTTTACAAATTATTCCAGTGACATGGATTTTTCTCTTTACTCTGACATAAACACCATCAATCCTCACCTGGTTAAAAATGTATCAGAAGCCAGGCATGGTGGAGCATGCCTTTAAAGTATTTGGGAGGCAGAGGCAGGTGGATCTCTGTGAGTTGGAGGCCAGCCTGGTCTACAAAGTGAATCCAGGACAGCCAGGGCTCTATTACATGGAGAAACCCTGTCCTGGAAAACCATAAACAAAGAAAGAATATCGCAGATATTTAGGAAGCACAGCACAAATGAAGCTCGTCTATGTGTGATGACACTGGCTGCTAGATGGTGAACTACATTTGCTCACTAAAAATCTGTGGGTTACACGTTGGGGGTTCTGTCCAGTTTCTACTGGGTGAAAACTGGCTCATGAACCAAGTCCCAATTCTGATCCCCTTTGGGACTAATCAAGTTGGCACTCTGATTTATAGATAGCCGCCTGTGTCCTGACTGTGTGAGCATCTCCCTAGTGATCATCTCCCAGCATGCTCATCAGTAAGCATTATTTCTCCCTTACAAAGCACAGCATCAAACCGTGAATATATGACACCCAACTGTTACAACCATCTTTTTGAGAGCCCCTGAATATCTGGCTGGCTTTGGATGAAACACTTGTGCTGTTTCAAACAGGCATCTATGTTTTTAGTTTTAGTTTTGGTTTGGTTTTTTGAGACAGGATTTCTCTGTGTAGCCTTGGCTGTCCTAGACTGACTTTGTAGTTTAGGCTGGCCTCAAACTCACAGCGATCCATTGCCTCTGCCTCCTGGAATGCTTCGATCATAGGCGTGTGCCACTGAGCCCAGCTGTTCTTAGTGTTCTTATAGGACTGATAACACTCTCATAATCTTGATGCACGATGGGAGACACAAGTTTAACATTCTTCTAGGTTTTTGTTTGTTTGTTTGTTTGTTTTGTTTTGTTTGGTGGTTCTAGAGCCCAAACCCAAGAACTTTGCACACTAGACAAAACATCCTACCACCCCGCTACAGCTCTATAGAGACAGTCAGCCTAACACTCTTGCTTGTTAAAGTGCCTCTTATTTTATGTGTGTAACTCTTTTGCCTGTGTGTATCTCTGCACCCAGTATGACTGGTTCCCACATAAGAGGGCATCAGATACTATAGGACTGATATTATAGCAGGTGATGAGCCATCATGTGAATTCTGGGACTTGAACCTGGGTCTTCTGTAAGAACAAGCAGTGCTCTCAACTGCTAAGCCATTTCTCCAGGCCCTGTTTGTTCATTTTTGAGACAGTCTCATATAGCTCTGTCTGGCCTTGAATTTACTATGCAGCCAAGGGAGACCTTGAACTCATGATTCACCTGCTTCTACCTCCCAAGTGCTAGGATTTCAGGTGTGCAAAACCACACCGGGGTTAACATTTAACATAATGTTAAACACCAAGTTTAACATTCTAAACATTAGGAAGAATTACTACTATTTACCTTTCTTTATCTGCCCTTCCTCCCTACCCCCCCACCACCAGGGGTTTCTCTGTATAGTTCTTGCTGTCTGGAACTCCTCGAACTCAGAGATCCACCTTTCTCTGCTTCCTGAATGCTGAGATTAAAGGTGTGTGCCATAACGACCTACCCTACTGTAATTTACTTTTATGTGTATGAGTACTTTGCCCGGATGCATGTAGCACACGGGTGGAGTGCCTGTGGAGGCCATAAGAAGGTGTCGATCCCTGGGAGTGGGTCCTCTGGAAGAGCATCCCATGCTCTTAGGCCCTGTGCCCTGTCTCCAGTCCAGGAAGAATCACTATTGCCAACACCATTCGGATCACACATTGCAAAAGTAGTTTTACACGTTTTGAAACAAAAGATTTGTTACACTTTTATTAAGTTTGTCCTGATCATTCTGTACACACATAGACTGCATTCTGGATGCTGACACTCCCCATCCTCATGCCCTCTCTAGAAATCCCACACTCTGTCTTTCTGGTGTGTGACTCACTGAATTTAACCAGAGCCACCTGTGTGCCCATGGGTTTGGCGCTGACCATCAGAATCTGGAGGGCTCATGAGACAATAGGAAAAGGTTTAAATTAAACCTTCTTAATTCATGTTAAACAGCTAAAAGACTGTTTCCTAATATTTCTGTAACTTTTTATTTAATGTATTTATTTATTTATGTGTGTGTGCGCATGCTCACATGCACATGAGTGCACCTGTGTTTACATGCATGTGTGGAAGCCATAGAATGACCTGTGGGAATCAGTTTGTGTGTGTGTGTGTGTGTGTGTGTGTGTACATGCATGTGTGGAGGTCACAGGATGACCTGTGGGAATTGGTTGTCTCCTTCCACCACATGAGTGCCAGGCCTCACACTCAGGTTGCCAGGCTTGCTGGCATGCCTTTCCCTGCTGAGCCATCTTGCTTACCCCAGTTTCCTATACGTTCAATGGGCCACTGTTAACTTAAGGACATGGTACTTTGCTTTTCCATAAGCTCAACTTTGGCAGTGCTTTCATTGGAATATATTATTAATTCCCAAATGCAGTTTCCTTGGCAACTTCCCTCAACAAATAAAACTGTTCTGTAAACAATATCCTTCCTCCCCTCATCCTCTCTCTCTGGCTGTGGTGGAAAAACAAAAAGAGTTTTGTAGTACACAGCTCTGCTAGCCTGCAACTTGCTATGTAGACCAGGCTGTCCTCAAACTTATGATTCTCCTCTGCCTCTTGAAAGCTGGGGTTACAGGCACTACACAATGCCTGGATTGTAAACAATTTTAACAGTATCTTTAGGAAGGACCAATCAAGTCTTCTTTCTTTGAAACATTTAAACTTAATACCTCCTTTTTTTTTTTTTTTTTAAGACTCCAGCTTGTTACTGAAAACAAACACTGGCTCTATGAATATCAAGTTCAGAAGAACCAACAATCACTAAGTTAAATGTTTCACTATGGATAACACACTGTTACAATGAAACTGTAACAAAACACGTAATTATTGCTATTATTCTTTTACTTAATAAGAAGGCCAAGGCACAGGACTCCTACTGCCTGCAACTCTACCTGCCAGTGAGAAGCTAGAGTACTTCCCTAGAGAGGTGAAGTTAAAGAGAGCATGTGCAGACATGGCAAGGGAAGAGACAGTCACATAACTTTCATCACAGCACGCAAAACAGGAAATTATCAAATTAGTTACCTACTACTTAGTCCCAATTTACATGATGTTTAGTAATTTCACCAAAACTTTAAAAAATAATTGAAAGTAAAATAGAAAACACAGACAAGAAATAAATAAATTATGAAGAAGCAGAAGGAATCACAGTACTAAAAACGCATAGAAAAAATACAGAACTCCGCTGTGCCTGGCTGTGAATGCCTGTGACCTCAGCACTCTGAGGCAGGAAGGCTGTTAAGTTCCAGGCTAGCCAGAGTTGCACAGCAAGACCCAAGCTCATAAACCCAAGGGCTGGAGATGGAGCTCAGCAGCCGAACGCTTGCCTAACAGGCATGCACATGGCCCTGGGTTTGCGCTCCAACATCATAAAACCTGAGCAAATGTCATAGAAATAGGAGAACATTACCAACATCCCTACAGTAGACTGTTTTGGAGATCCTGGCTCTAGACCACATCCAGGAAAAACTCGTAAAACTATCACTTTTAGTTGACGTGGAGCCAGATGTCCGATGCCGGAAGGGAATGCAAGCCATCAACCTGCCTTCCCAGACTAAACCAGAAGGCACGCGTGCTACCTGGAAAAGTTGCTTAGGCTTGTGACTACCAGCTTGCTGACTTTTACAGCCAGGCTGCATCTGCGTGGCTGAGTAATGGAAGCTAGTATTATCAACGTTTCGAAGGGTTTTTAGATGGTTCGTAAGCTGGTTTCTAAATAAACTAGAAGAAAAGTAGAATTTCACTTTCTGAACCACTGTAAAGTGCATCCTAGAAGAGAGTAGTGAAACTTTACAGGTTACTTTACTTTTGAAAGCGTCCGTGGCTCCAGGGGCATGGTTCTTGTCTGGATGAAACTTCAAAGCAAGCTTCCTATAAGCTTTTTTCAAATCTTCATCACCAGCATCTTTTGTAACTCCGAGGACTTCATAGTAATTTTTACATTTGTTAATGCTGTAAACAAGAAAGGGTTATGGTATAAATTTCAAGCAAGAGCAGATGTCACCCTCTATTAGAATGTCCTGAGGAACATCTGGGGATGTGACAAACTCATCTGGGCCGTGTGCTGCATCCTCTCTCTGACAGCCAGACCATTCCTCCACCCACGAGAATGTCCACAGCTACAGAGAAGGAAAGCCCGTGATGAATACAGATGAGGGGCAGTGCACTCATTGCAACTAAAGTGGAAGAAACTCCTCAAAAGTGTGTCACCACTGAGGAGTAAACACGGTGAGAACTTTGTTAGTGCACAATGTAGATCTAGCCGAGCATAAGAGCAGGGCTAGTGTCTACACTGAAGCTGCAGTGGTTTGTGGTCTGAAGCCAAGAATGCCGACCCCACACCATTGCTACTGAGAATGCACCTGCGTGACTAAAACAGATCACAAGTCCTGTGTTAATAAAACACTGAAAAGTAACAACCCGGATTAAAACAATACTTAATATATCCAATTTCCATCAGTTTATTCCTAGAAAATACTTAACACAGTTTTTGTGTTATTGTTTTGTTTTGTTTTTTGGTTATTCCAGGCAGGGTTTCTCTGTGTGTAGTAAGGTTTGTTCTTTAAAGAGGTTCACACACTGAAGCTTGGAGTGCTGAGGACATCCCAGGAACAGAAGAGAAATACTGAAGCGATTAGAGAACACTGAGGACTCTAGGATGACAACAGCCTACCACCAAATAAGCTGGCATCCCAGAAGCTAAAGCATGTATAGGGGCTGGGAGTGGAGCACAATGGTAGACAGCAGACATGGCATGCACAGATGAGGCTGTGTGCTCATCTCTAGCAGAGAGGAAAAGGCCACTTGTATCTTGTAACGTCAGTTAGATTCTATATTCTGTGTCTTGAAAACTAACAACAGGAAAGCCAACTAGAAGAACGGGTGACTAGGAGCAAAACTGGGAAGACACAGTGGTAGAGGGAAGGGGAAAGGAGGGGAAAGGGTAGTCCTGAGGGTGATAAGAAAGCAGGCTGGGCAAGCCATATGGAGTAAGCCAGTAAGAAGCCCTCCTCCATGGCCTCTGCATCAGCTCCTGCCTCCAGGTTCCTGCCCTGACTTCTCTGGACCATGGACTACAAGTTATAAAGGTGAATTAAACCTTCTCCCTAAGTTGCTTTTGTGGAACTCTGCTGGATAAGGTTGAAATTTGATGTACCTGGGTAGCCAACTGAGCTCAGTCTATTGTGACAGACTCCCTTTTCTCAGTGTGGTTCTCACCCAACTCCAATCCAGGTACCCCAGGTCTTGCAAGGAGGTCATATAGCCCTCAGGGAAGATTATAGGCCTGACCCTTTCCTGAAAAGAAAACCTGCTCTGTAGGTACCTGTGGATTCCTGGAAATGCCCCACCATGCTAAGAAAAATCATAGTTTTCAGCAGTAACCTTCAATTGCACTTGGGGATTCACCTACCAATAGGATAATTAAGTACTGTGTCCTCTTTCTTTTGATAGGACCGTGCTATTGCATGTAAATGAGGTGCTGTACCACTACACAGGTAAATCAAGTATCCTTGCACCCCTGGCCCCAGAGATTCAAACACATTCACCCTTGAAATCCCTCCCACTGCCCAAAGGTATATAAATCCCTGATTTCAAATAAAGATGCTGGCTGCATGCTGCATGATACTGTCAGCCTTCCACCATGGCCAGCTGAGATTCTTCATTTGTTCCCTGATGGCCATGTCTCACCAGGCCTGCCCTCCTGTCCGCTGAGCCTGGGCTTTTGCCAGCACCTCTGCTGTGCTCAGCTGAACAAAGAGCTGTAACATTTTGGTACTGTCATAGGCTTTGGAATGCCAGAGCTGCCACTGCCACCAGCAACCTCATTCTAAAAGAGCTAAACTTTAACACTACATGGAAAACTTTTCCACATCCAGCCTCGTGCATGGACCTTTCTCTAGAGTGCTCTAGCTGCTCCAGAGAGAAATGGAACCCTGATTCTGGGGTGGCCCCATTCTCTGTCAGAAGCCATGTTCCAGGCCCACATCAAGTAGAGAACGACATGCTTTTTTTTGTCATGGTCTTTGTCATAGCAATAGAAACCCCAACTAGGGCAATAGTCTAAGTGGAAGTCCTAGTCTTTGAAGATTCTTTCTCCCAGATGTGTTTAAAAACTATGTGACAGGGAAGGTATGCTGGTAGAAGGTGGCACTGGAGAGCATGTGTGCAGGGCACAGTCCATGAGACTGAGGATAAGGATTAGCTGCAGATTGTCACTCTAGTTTGCTTTCTGCTGTTGGGAACAAAAGCAACTTGAGGAGGAACGTGACGGTTCATCTCAGCTTACACTTCCAGGGAAGTCTGTCCTGAGAGAAAATGGAACAGGCATTCAATGCAGGAACTGAAGCAGAGACCACAGAGGAGCACTGCTTACTAGCTCACTCAGCCTGGTCAGTCGTGATCAGCCAGCTTTCATAATACAACCTAAGACCACCTGCCTAGGCGTGACACCATTTCCAGACAGCTGGTGTCTTACTTAGGGCTACTATCGCTATGATGAAACACCATGACCAAAAACAGTCCATAGAACAGTTCATCCTCAAGAGCAGTGAAGGCAGAAATTCAAACAGGGCAGGAACCTGGAGACAGAAGCTGATGAAGAAGCCATAGAGAAGTGCTGTTTCCTAGATTGCTCCCCCATTTTTACAGAATCCAGGGCACCAGCCCAGAGATGGTTCCACCCACAATGGGTGCCTCCCCCATTGATCGCTAATTTTTAAAAAGGCCCTACAGCCAGATCTTATGAAGGCATTTTCTCAGTTGAGGTTTCTTCCTTTTAATAACTATAGCCTGTGTCAAGATGGCATAAAACTAGCCAACACAACTGGGCTCTCCACATAAATGAACAATCAAGACAATTCCCCACAGATATGGCGACAGGCCAAACCTATCTGGGCAAACCCTCCATTGAGAGTCCTCTTTCAGTTAAAAAGCAATAAATCAAGTAATCCAATTAAAAACTGGGGTATAGAGCTAAACAGACAATTCTCTGTAGAGGAATATAGAATGGCAGAGAAACACTTAAAGAGATGCTCAACATCCTTAGCTATCAGGGAGATGCAAATCAAAACGACCCTGAGATTTCACCTTACACCCATCAGAATGGCTAAGATGAATAACTCAAGTGACAACATATGCTGGAGAGGTTGTGGAGAAAGGGGAACCCTCCTCCATTGCTGGTGGGAATGTAAACTGGTTCAACCACTTTGGAAGTCAATCTGGTGCTTTCTCAGACAATTAGGAATAGTGCTTCCTCAAGATCCAGCTATACCACTCCTAGGCATCTACCCAAAATTTGCTCAAGTAACAACAAGGACATTTGCTCAACCATGTTTGTAGAAGCTTTATTTGTAATAGCCAGAACCTGGAAACAACCCAGATGTCCCTCAACAGAGGAATGAATACAGAAATTGTGGTATTTTTACATAATGGAATACTACTCAGCAATCAAAAAGGAGGAAATCATGAAATTTGCAGGCAAATGGTAGGATCTAGAAAAGATCATTCTGAGTGAGGTATCTCAGAAGGAGAAAGACACACATGATATATACTCACTCATATAGTCCTATAAAATATGATAAACATAATGAAATCTATACACCTAAAGAAGATAAACAAGAAAGCAGACCTGGGGTAAGATGATCAATCCTCACTTAGAAAGACAAATGAATGAGAGATTCATTGGATGTAGGAGAAAACAAGTAATAGGACAGGAGCCTACTGCAGAGGGCCCCTGAAAGACTCTACCTAACAGTGTATCAAAACAGATACTAACACTCATAACCAAGCCTTCGGCAGAGTGCAGGGACTCATATGAAAGAAGGGGGAGTTAGTATGACGTGGAAAGGATAGGAGCTCCATAAGGACCAAATATATCTGGGCACAGGGGTCTTTTCTGAGACTAACACTCCACCAAGGACCATGTATGGATATAACCTTAGAATCCCTGCTCGGATGAAGCCCGTGGTAGCTTGGTAACCAATTGGTTTCCCATAGCAAGGGGAAGAGGGACTGATTCTGACAGGAACTCAATGGCAGGCTCTTTGACCTCTCTACCCCCCAAGGGAGGAGCAGTCCTGCTAGGCCACAGAGGAGGACTTTGCAGCCAGTCCTGAAGATACCTGATAAAACAGGGTCAGATGAAAGGGGAGGAGGTCCTCTCCAATCAGTGGACTTGGAAAGGGGCAGGGTAGAGATGAGGGAGGGAGGGTGGGATTGGGAGGGAATGAGAGAGCAGGATACAGCTGGGATACAGAGTTAATAAAATATAACTAATAAAAAATAAAAATAAATAAATAAACTTCCCATAAAAGCCTTCAACAATAAAAAACCATATAAATAAATAAAAAGAGAGTCCTCTTTCTTCATGGTTGTGTCAAGTTGGCTATACAAACTAGCCAGGCAATTACATACTTTAAGAAGTGTTCCACATACACCCCTTACTATGTGCTGGTTTGAATAGGAACAGTCCTCATATTCTTACATATGTGAATGCTTGCTCATTAGGGAATGGAGCTACTTGACAGGGATTAGGAGGAGTGGCCTTGCTGGAGCGGGTGTGGCCTTGATGGAGGAAGTGTGTCACCGGGGTGGGGCTTTGGGGTTTCAAAGGTTCAATCCAGGTCCATGTTTTGCAATTCCCGCTGCCTGAGGCTCTGAATCAAGAACTCTCAGCTACCTCTCCAGTAACATGTTGGATACACACCAAGTCATGCTTCCCTCCCTGAAGGTGAAACCTCTGAAACTGTAAGCAAGCTGCAATTAAATGATTTCATTTATAAAAGTTGCAGTGGTCAGGGTATCTCTTTACAGCAATGCCTAAGACACTTTAGTCATTGTGACTAAAGACTAATGACTAAGACACTTTCCCACACCACAGTTCTTTTCATCAGCTAAATTTTGACTCACACTGGTGGGGAAGTCTGTCACAGCAGGGAAGATGTGAAGCCTGG